GTGTGTGTGTGTGTGTGTGTGTTCCAGGTGATGGGATGAATGCGTACATGGCCTACAAAGTGACGACCAAGGTGAGAGACTTCATTTTAATTATTGTAATTATCTCTCATTGTCCCAATGCATCATTAATATTTGCATTAATATTTATCTCTATTTAATAATATAATATAATTATAATATATTATGATATAATATGTTATATAACATAAAATAATAGAATTGTGTAATTGGGAATTGCTCAGTTTTATTTATTTACTCTCTCTGTCTCTCTCTCTGTCTGTCTCTCTCTCTGTCTCTCTCTGTCTCTCTCTCTCTGTCTGTCTCTCTCTCTGTCTGTCTCTCTCTCTGTCTCTCTCTCTCTGTCTGTCTCTCTCTCTGTCTGTCTCTCTGTCTGTCTCTCTGTCTCTCTCTCTGTCTGTCTCTCTCTCTCTCTCTGTCTCTCTCTCTCTCTCTGTCCCTCTCTCTCTCTGTCCCTCTCTCTCTCTCTCTCTCTCTCTCTCCCTCTCCCTGTGTCTCTCGCCCAGACCTCCATGTCTCTGTTCAAGCGTAATGAGTTTTCAGTAAAAAGGCGTTTCAGTGACTTCCTGGGTCTGCACAGTAAACTCGCCTCGAAGTACCTGCACATAGGCTACATCGTCCCGCCTGCACCGGAGAAAAGCATTGTGGGTAAGTGAAACCGCTGCCAAAGACGCCCTCTGCTGGACTCCAGACCATAACACCATAACTTTATATACATATATATATATATATATATATATATATAAATAATTATCAAACAGAGACTTTGAAGTGAATAAGAGGTGATTAATAAGTAAATAAGGAAATGTCTAATTTAAAGAGTGAATGTCTCTTATTTTGAAAATAATGGCATTTTGTGTATATTTTTCTTTTGTTTCTTTAACTAACTCCACTAACTGCTCACTCAGTATTAAAACAAGTGGACTGAGTATTAAAGTTTGGACAGGAGCTGAACAAAGTCTGGTATCACACGACAGAAATGCTGCTGGACGTTTTATTTTGAAAACTCTTGGGTTGTTTGGGTCTCATCAGTCACGACTCTGATTTGTCACGCTCCTATAACGTGACCTTGTCTGGACGAAAAACCTAACGACCTCGTCCTCGAAAAGAAATCTCCGGCTCCTCGTTTGTAGCCTTTTCTGTAACCAAGCAACTGCAGAGAAGACGATCTACTTCCTGTTTACACCTGCACGTGCATGTGCAGTGTATGTTAAAGGTCATCTTTTGATATGTGTTTTCAGGTGTGTTATAATCATAAGGTTCAGAGAGAGTCATTCAGATACTTCCAGATGTTTCTTTCACCAGATGTTAGTTACCACAATGGTTTTCACTCTCTGCAAACAGCTGTAAATATTCATACACATATAATATTAATATAATATATAATAAAAGATGATATATTCATAAACACGACGTGCTCTGTGACCGTCAGTGACCACAGCTCATACAAACACACGACTGTCCTCGTCCCGCCTGAGAATCACTCGCGCTAACGAGCGTCTCCTCGTCTGCAGGGATGACCAAGGTGAAGGTGGGGAAGGAGGACCAGTCGTCCAACGAGTTCGTGGAGAAGAGGAGGTCGGCGCTGGAGAGGTACAGACACACACACACACACACACACACACACACACACACACACAGCTGGAGAAGATAAAGAGTCGGGGTGTTTGACTGAAAGGAAGGAGCTCGTCTCTGGTTTCGCTTCATCTCTGTGTGAATCAGTTTAGAGACATTTAGTCACATTTGTTTTATTCGTCACGGTTTCATCTTCATCATCATCATGTGGTGATGAAGCTGTGAGGACAGACCGTTTTTATATCTCAGAATCAGAATCCTTTATTGATCCCCAGGAGGAAATAAGGTTGAGTTACAGTCGCTCCCTCAGCAGAGAAAAGAGAATATGATGTAGATTATAAAGATAAAAATAAAGCTAAATATATATATATACAGAAACTCTAAAAAATGTCATTATACTATAATATATAAAAGAAAAAAAAAATATGTAAAGAATTAGGAAAGACAAGTTTAAAACTGCACTAGTCATATCTGTCCTCTGTGGTGCGTTCAAGGACACTCTGACATTTGAGAATTCAAAATCAGTTGCTGAAAATCTGTTTTTTTAAATTTTGTTTTGTTATTTTTTAAATCATTCAAACAGTAAAAACATAAAATAAATGATGACGAGACGCTGATTTTTATTGTAGCTTGTTCTAACATAGCATTAGCATTAGCATTGTCCCGGTGTGTTTGTGTGTCTCTGACTGAAACACGTTATTTAATTTGACTTGATTCAAGACCTAAAGCTTTATTGTTCTCAGCTTACCGTCCTGTTACCATGACAACAAAGAAATTTAGGTGACGGAATCGCAGACTGTGTGTGTGTGTGTGTGTGTGTGTGTGTGTGTGTGTGTGCATACAGTCGTGGTAAAGATCAACCTGGTCAGAACTTTACAGGCCAAAAGGTTAAACCACAAATATTAGATACATCATCATCAAACACGTGTGTGTGTGTGTGTGTGTGTGTGTGTGTGTGTGTGCGCACTGAATACTGAGGAGCAGGAAGGTGGGGTGGTGGGGGGCGGGGCTGACATTCTGCTGCCCTTTACTGATGGTGTTTGATTGACAGGAAGGTCAGCCAGTGACAGCTGATGGAGCTCAGAGCTGCAGAACTCCACGCTGATGCACACACACACACACACACACACACACACACACACAATGAAAACTGTGTTAGTGACGAACAAACACATTTTTAATTTGACTGTTTGTGTTTCGACTCTGTTACAACACAGTAATGATGTTTTAACATTTCAAAATAAAAGCCTTGAAAGGTTGATGTTTTTTTTCTTCAGTTTGTTCACATGTAGCTTTTATTTTGTGACTGCTGCTGTTTTAGACTGAAACAGGAAGCAGCTTTTTTCTCTGAGCTGAAGAACTTTAGACATCAGCCAATAGCGTCAAAGAAGAAGCATGTTACCATGACACCCAGCGATGAGGAGAGCGTATCATTGGATGGAAAATGGTCGTTGTAAAAACTTGCGTGCTGTCAGAAGTAAAAGCATCTTGTGTTTGTGTTTCAGGTATCTGATGAGGACAGTGAAGCATCCCGTCCTGCTGAAGGATCCCGACGTCCTGCAGTTTCTGGAGAGCTCAGATGTAAATAACAAAATCACACATTTCACTAGAGGAACATGAACACATCTGATCACATGCTAAACACATCAGCATCAGTCTGTAGAAACAAACCTGCTTATTATCAATTGACAGTCAGATCTCTGCTTCTTTGTTTTTCTACAGATTTAATTAAGTTTTTAAACCTTAAAGCTCCATATTTTCTTCTTCTTCTGTGTTTTATTTGAAGTGTTGATCCATCAGAAGATATAAAACCATCTCAGTGTAGTTTTACATCTCCTCTCTCAGGCTTCTCTCTGGAGCTCTAGTAACAACAGGTCTGTGAGCCAATCAGAAGAGAGGAGGCTCAGAGCTTCTCTTCTGATTGGCTGACTGTTTTCTGAGTGATCCAATAAAAATAAAGCAGATTTCAGGTAAAAACACTGAGAGAAACCAAATCCTGCAAGGTTTGGATGGTGGGTCCAGGTGGGCGGGGCTTGGTGACTGCTTTGTTGTGACATCACAAAGTTCCAGAAGTCCTGACGGCTGGTTTTAAGGCTCAGTTTCTGAATACAGGCTGTGTGCATTTCTCTGTGGACTGAGGCTTTGATACTTTCACAGTATTAATATAGAAGCTAGAGCTGATCTATAATCACACTACACATGGACACAGACCTTCAGACTATATGAGACGACAGTCTGCTCCGTTAGCTTCAACGCTTCGCTTCAGAAAATCAACAAAACCTGCAGGAAAAGTTTGAGCAGCTGCGACCTCATTCCTTCATGTTCAGTTTGTGGAGTTAAGTCTTCACCTGAACGCCGAGTTAAAAACATCAGATGACGAGTTTGTTGCAGTGAAACTTTGGACTCCGCTCTTTATTTCTCAGCTCTATTGTTGGTCCATTTGTTTCCTCGCTGAACTAATAAGAAAACTTAATTTACTAAAGTAGTAGCTGCAAACTAGATTTCGTTAGGAGGGAAAGCGTTGCTGCACTGACCTCTATGACTCATGGTGACTGTCATGCTAGGACTGCAGGAAACATCAAACTGATTCAATTCATTCAAAGTTTTTGTTTTTCTAAGTTCTGTAAATTGTCTACATTTTGAACAATTGAATTATAACAAAGTGCACGAACCCAAGTATTTTCACTCACAGACAGCTGGCAACATTAACTGTCTTGACTCATTATGGTCCCATAAACTGTGACGTGAAGCACGACATGCTCACGATTGAATTTAACAATCGCAAGAACATGAGAGACGGTCGAAAAAAAAAAAAAAACTCTTATCGGCCCCCTCGGTTCGTGTTTAATGTGGACGGATCATCTCTGTTTAGTGGAGGTGAGGTCATCGCAGCCGACTGAACAGTGAGCAGATACCCGCCGCGTAGCTAACGCTAGTCAACAGCTGTCTGCAGATATCAGCTAATGTCAGGAAACAGAGACAGAGCCGATGAATCAGTTCCTCTCATTTTCTCTGGGTCTCTGGTTATCTACTCCAACTATCTGCTGCTCACAGGCTACGTCAACATTAATACGCTTTCATTTCCAAGCTAAAACGTCTCCGTCCAGACGAGTTTTAGCTCCTTATCACAAATAATCTCGTTCCACACTAACACGCCTGAAAACACACGAAACAAACACATCTCACATGACCGCTCACAAACACTGGGCATGTGCTGCAGGTGTAAACAGGAAGCAGGTCGTCTGCTCTGCAGTTTGTTGCTTAGTTGCAGAAAAATACTACGAACGAGAGCGGCGATGGCGACTCAGTGTAGTCCTCCTTTTAATTAAACCTGCACTAACTGATTCTTCATGCCACACGATCGTCCATCTTCAGTGGTGTCGGCGTCACCTGGTGGATCTCAGTCCACTGTTCCCTCTCTTTTAGCTCTGTGTTTGGTCTCCACCAGCTGCAGCGTTCAGCAGCTGCTCTCTGACTCAGTGCGTCTGCTGCCGGCGGCTTCGTACAGATGTTCTCAGAGAAACAGCTGCTGCTGCTGCGACTGAAAATAACACTATGACACTGAACCAGAACCAGAACAGTAAAGTTCTGGGGCTGGTCGCGCAAAACACCTGAAGTTAAGATTTTCCTTAATGGCTGGATTACAGTTTCCTGAAAATAAAAATCGTCGCACAAAACACCCTTAAATTTTCTCCTAAAGGTTCGCTGAAGTTTTTCTCCGTATCTTATTGTTGAACTTCAGGAATCACTTAAAGTTCAGCTGGTGAAGCTCCCGTCACAACAACAGGAGGATTATGGGACGAGAACAGTGACAGTAACATTTTGACGTTCAAAATAAAACCTGAGGTGAAAAAGGAAACGATGGCACCGAAAAAGCTTCCGCGAAAAAAACGGCAAGAAAAAACAAAGAAAAAACTACGATCTCACAATCTTTTCTCATTTCATTTAATTAAGTTTGTAGTTTATTTAATGTTGGTGTTTTATTTTTCAGTGGAACTTGTATTAGTTACTGTCACTGTTCTCGCCCTGTAATCCTCCTGTTGTGCACAAGTGCTAATGGCAGCAAATCAGCAGTCTCCATGGAAACAGTAGAATTTCACTGCTGTAAAATATTGAATGTTTTTCTTAAACTAAGGAAACGTTTTGAGAGACTGTGCAGCAGACTCCAGTAACTCAAAATCAAACCTAAGTTTTTTATTCACACAAACAAGCAGCAAACTGAAGGACAGAAGGACACAGGCCCACCCAGGTGCATGCTGGTCCGAAACCCGTCTCCCGGCCTAAATAACCTCAAGTACCCGTAGTGTTACCAGAATAAACAAAGTACCACTAAAAGAAAACTAACTATGGTGGACGAGCAAATAATATAAATGAACTAATGACGAACAAAAGAATATCGTCCAAAAATCAAACGAGTCAAGTCAAGTAATCCAAACACAACACCCGAGAAACCAGGAAGCAGCTCCTGCAAAGCTTGTGCTAATACAGCGACAGGCTGGAGAAGGTGAGGAGGTCAGTGTGGTTCATCCTCCGAGGACCAAGATGTCTCACTCTTAAAGTCAGACGCTCGGACGGACGGAGGCAGCGTCGGCCTCCGCGGCGCTCTCGTCCTGAGACGCTGGAAGCGGCGTCTGCGAGCCGAGCCTCTAAAAACTGCCTCAGGGTTTAAGGGCCTGCGGCGTTTCCTGTTTCCTCACTTTATTGTCCACTCCCACTAAATCCTCTGTAACATTTCGTCTTGTCCTCCCCCTCCTCGCCCCCCGCCCCCCCCCCTCGCTGCCACCTACCTAACTGTTAGTGGGATTGCGTTGTGAAGGAGCTGGCAGACGTTGGTCCAGAATAAATGGCCTCGTGTCACCGGTTTAACAGATGAATCGCTCCAACGCTTGACCGAGCGTGTCGGTCCGTCCAGCCCGCTTAATGAAACACAACCAGAGGAGGGAGGGGGGAGGAGGGGGGAGGAGGGAGGGGGGGACAAATGGGACCAAGCTGCAATTTAAAGCTATTTTTACCCCACGCCTCTGCTCATTTACCCTCGTCCCTCCGTCAGCGAGGGCCCCGGGGACCGAGCCGTCCCCTGGCTGCCGCCGCCCCTGTTAAATGAGATTGGAGCAAATGTGCTCCACCGTCGGAGGAAAACCTCGTATGTCCAGGAAAAAAAAAAAAACTTTTCCAAAATGAAGAAAAATGAGTCTATTTTCAGACGGACGTGGAGGCGTCCTGCACCGAGGCGCCGGGCTCTGACTCAGTTTTTGCAGCTGGTAAAGTTGCTCTGCACAGAAAGTGTCTGCATTAAATCTGACGGCAGCTAAAACGTGGGAGACATTACAATCAGAGAGGAGGAGAGAGAAGAGCTGCAACAGAGTCGAGAGGGAGGGAAAGAGAAAGAAACACAACATCCAACGGAGGAAAGTAAAACAGGAAAATAAAATAGCGCAGTAAAACTTAGAGATCAGAGAAAGAGAAATAAGATCTGAAGGAAATCACAGGAAGAAAAGAGAAAAACAAATACGCAGATAAGAAGTTAACAAGAGAAAACTGAAAGAGAAGGAAAAACAGAAAAGAAAGGCAGATGGAAAAGATGAAAGTAAAACTGAGAAAAGCTGTTGAGTTGATCAGAAACTGAGTGAAAGTGAAAGATGAAGAAAAGTAAAAGAAAAAGAAGCTAATGAGAAAAAACAAACAAAAAAGAAAAAGTAAGATGATAAATCTTCAAATAAAAGCTCGGCCTCAAACACGAATGATGGACGTCACTAATGAAGTCAAGTAACGATCTTTGTGGAACAACGTCAGTGAAACTCAACTTTTCTTGCTGATGTTTCAAATTAAAAGCCTAAGCCAAACATGGAAGGGATTATGCTCATTAAATTGCTGGAAGACTTTTAAAGTGAAAAATCACACAGGAAGTGTTGGTAACTCAACAACACTTAATAAAACAGCAAAGAAGAAGGAGAATTTATCAAGACTCAAGGGAAACATGAAGAGTCGAGTCTGAGGGACCAGGAAGTAAAACTCAAACTGTTTGTTTGTTTGTTTGTTTGTTTGTTTGTTTGTTTGTTTGTTTGTTTGTTTGTTTGTTTGTTTGTTTGTTTGTTTGTTTGTTTGTCGGCCAGTTGCCGCGGGCAGTCAGCACTCAGGCTCTGAGCAGCGCCGGACTTCTGCGAATGGTCAACAAGGCCGCGGACGCCGTCAACAAGATGACCATCAAGATGAACGAGTCCGACGCCGTGAGTGAAGGAGGGAGGAGAGGAGAGGAGGGAAGGAAGGAAGGATGTTAGAGGGAAGGAATGACAGAAGGAGGCACAGGAAGAAGAGAAGGGAGGGTAGAAGAGAGGAGAGACCTGTGGGATGAAGTGAAGGAGGGAAGGAGGAAGGACGAGTGGATGGAAATAAGGAAGTAGAGAGGAAGGAAATGATTCAAGAAAGGAAATCAGAAAATAAAGGTTAAAGAAAGAAGAGATGGAAGAACAGATAAAAGAGGAAAAGAAAGATGTAAATAAAAACAAAAATATAGAAGCAAGAAGGAAAAAATAAAAATGGAGATAGGGAACTGGGTCGAAGGGAAGAAAAGAAGGAAACAGGAAGAAATGGAAGGAGACAGACGGAAAAATCAGTCAAATGATTATTGAACAATTTTGAACAATTAAAGTTTAGCAAAATAAGTTTCATAAAAGCGTGTGTGTGTGTGTGTGTGTGTGTGTGTGTGTGTGTGTGTGTGTGTGTGTGTGTGTGTGTGTGTGTGTGTGTGTGTGTGTGTGTGTGTGTGTGGTGTGTGTGTGTGTTGTGTGTGTGTTTGTGTGTGTGTGTGTGTGTGTGTGTGTGTGTGTGTGTGTTTGTGTGGTGTGTGTGTGTGTGTGTGTGTGTGTGTGTGTGTGTGTGTGTGTGTGTGTGTGTGTGTGTGTGTGTGTGTGTGTCAGTGGTTCGAGGAGAAGCAGCAGCATTTCGAGAACCTGGATGTTCAGCTGAGGAAGCTTCACGGCAGCGTGGAGTCTCTGGTCTGTCACAGGAAAGGTACGACGCTCCGAGTGTTTCAGTCTTTGACTTTCTAACGTCAAACTGGATTTAACCCCCCCACCCCCCCACCCCCCCTCCAGAGCTGTCTGTGAACACGGCGCAGTTTGCCAAGTCGGCGGCCATGTTGGGGAACAGCGAGGACCACACGGCTCTGTCCCGCGCTCTGTCGCAGCTCGCCGAGGTGGAGGAGAAGATCGACCAGCTGCACCAGGACCAGGCCAACGCAGACTTCTACCTCTTCTCTGAGTTACTGGGCGACTACGTCCGCCTCATCACCGCCGTCAAGGTACGACCAGGACCAGGATCAGGTCCAGGATCAGGTCCAGGATCAGGTCCAGGATCAGGTCCAGGATCTGGTCCAGGATCAGGAACAGGACCAGCTCTTAGTTAGGTGCAGCAGAGGAGAGGGAGCTGAAGAGCAGTTGCAGGAGAATAGATTAGTAATAATTAATGAGTGTGTCTGTTCTGATTTCCTGATGTTACTTCCTGTCTGAGCTGCTGGACACTGAACACCTGAGAGCAGGTAGGTACGAGACAGGAAGTGAGAGAGTAGAGCTGCAACGATTAGTCGATCGACTATTCTGATAATCGATTAATCGTTTGACACTTTTCAAGAAATAAATTCCAGTTTGTCGAATGTGAATTTTCTTCTTTTCCTTTTCATGAATCGGAGGAAATCAAGTCTCTGAGTTTCAGACAAAAAAACATTTGACAAAAACGACAATTAATCGATTAATGAAGAAAACACAGGAGGATGAAGCTGGTTAGCTGCAGCTGTAGAGGAGTGTGTGTGTGTGTTATTGACGACTGTGTTGTAGCTGCAGATATTTGAACATGTGACTCATTGTTTTTACATCTAAAGCATAAAGGATTTTCTGACTTAAATAAAAATACATGTGTTTTATGTGCATTTATAAATGTTTAATGACGTTAATAATGTGGAAATGATCCTGTTGATTTAATGTTCGACTTCTCATCCAGTCAGATCTTTGAAACTAAACATCAGAGCTGCTGTTAATTAGTTTCCTTTATTAGAGTCCATTAATGAAAAGCTGCAGTTCATAGTGTCTCATGATTGGAAATTTATATCCGTGTATTTTCCTG